CTAAGAATTTTCAAAAAACATCATTCATCAAATGATAGAACATAGCTAAAGCATTTATCAATCCAAAAGACATAATATTATATTAAAAATTTCCATATGTTGTCCAAAATATTGTCTTTCATTCACCTCTTTCTTTAATTTATATTAAATTCTATACTTCATGGATATCTATTTTGGTGTAGATCTTGGCTTAATTGAATTACTTCAAAAGCCATGATATCAAGGTAATACGTAACAATTTTTCACTATAATTTTGTTGAGGTTGTAATAATCAACACACATTTGCAAAGATCCAATTTTTCTTTATAAAAAATATAGGTGTATCTATTAGAGATTTGAAATGCCAAATAAAGTTCTTTGAAAGATTTTTATCAATATAATCCTTCAATGCCAAAAGCTCATTCTAAGACAGATTGTAGATTAGACCAAATGGTTGTTAAATTCCTTCTTGAAGATTAATGGTGTAATCATACAATCAATGCTCTAGCAATATATCAACATTTTTTTTTCAAAGATATTTTGAAAATCCTTATATTTCTTTGAAATAGCTACTAACAAGCTTCTTTCTTCATGAATTGGCATTGCATAAATAAAAAAATGGCATTTCATTCTTAGCCATTTCCATAAAGCTCTTGTTCCAAGAAATAAGACCTTTATAATTGATGACTTCTTGATAGGTTTTATTTAAAGGATTTTTATATGAAATTCAAGCTTATGAAACCTCCAATTTATAATTAGATTATATATTTTTAACCATAAAAGTCCTAAAATTATAGAATTAAATAAGATTTTAATAATATTAAACACTATTTTGCTACTATAGCCTTTAAATGATATTTCTAACAATATGATATTATCAGTAATATTATCTAAAGATAAAAGTTGGCCATCTATTACTTTTATATGTACAAATTTTGATTTCTATATTAGAGGAATTTTATAAAGTTTGATAAACTTCTCATTTAAAAAACAAATAGATGCTCTTGAATCTAATAATGTAAGTTTGAAGTTTTTATGGCCCAAAAAAAAAGGTATAATAAAATAATGAGTAGGTTGGGCTAAGAGAGAAGGACCTTAATAAAATTGAGGTATTGAAATTTCCACTTACACAATCTCTATTATGACTAGACGTCTTCATTTTCTTGAGCAATTATACTCTTAGTCTTGCTTGTACATTGTTTCTTTGGACAATTCTCAAATTTATGGCCTCCTTCACTACAATACAAGCATAAGCCTTATTCAAATTAACACTTTTTTTTTCTCTATTGTAAGAGGTTGAATCATATTACATCAATTTACATATCTACAGCTCTAGAATATAAAAGCAATATATTTGTTGAAGCAACAGAGTACAAATTTTTAGTATATTGTTTTATCAAAGTTCATAGACATTGATCTTGATTGCATTGAAATAATTGATTATTTCACTTCATAGCTTAGTTGATGGCTTCATTAAGTGATTAAGGATTAGGTAATAATAATAATAGGTCTTTTTTATCATCTTTTAATTTTTAATAGAATTGGCTCATAAAAGCTTATTTATTCCAATTGATGTTACAAACCAATTGCCTAAAATCATATGCATAAATTGATGCAAAGCATGACCTTTGACGTAATGAGAAAATCTTTTTTGTTGCCTATTGGACCTTATCATTTTCTCCAAATGCCTCCACAAATGCTTTAAAAAAGCTTCAAAGTTGCTGAAGATTGGAGATTTTTTTTAAAAAAATAAATGAGCAAATCAAAATAAGGCTTATTTAATAACCAAGATTCTAATTAAATCAAGTGAAGACTCCCCTTTCAAATAGAATTTAGATCGTAGAAAAGTTACCAATCAAATTTGGTTAATAAACCCTCAAAACTTGGAGCATGTATTATCAAAAAAATTTAGAAGATTAATCCAAGGCTCCTTATGTTATTAAATAGGAAAATTTTCTTATTAAGGTATAAGTACTATAGCCTCTTTGGATGTAGAAGCTTGAAGAAGTAGTTGCATTACAAGTTGAACTATTCCAAGTCTTACATCACCATAAAATCTTACAAAAAAATCTTAATTTCAATAGTTCTACAAGATAAAGCATTTAACATATTCATAATAGTATCTAACTTGGACTTAATAGCCTCAACCATGCTAAAATCTTTTTTTCCAACTATTTTTGGGAAAAAAAAAAAAAAAAAAAAAAAAAAAAAAAAATCTAAACAATAACAGTTTAGAGGAAGATAATCTACAACCTCTAAAGTATTCACATGCCTTTAAAAAGAAGGATAATTTACTTTCTATAAAAAAAATATCAAACTCTAATATTAATAAGAAAGTAGTCTTAACAAATTGTCAAAGTTACACTATATTGAAGATTGAACAAGAAATTGAATAAAAGAGTTTCAACAAGAAAGCTAGCATGAACTTGATTACACTAGATGAGTATAAGATCAGTACTAAGAGAGGTGAGTTAGAGCTCTAAGAGATGTATTATCAAGTTTGAAGATCCCTATAGCCTTGACTTCAATATATACTAGATATTAAGAAGTTTCTATATTGCTTGGAAACAAAGCAATCTTAGGATCCTTCTTGGACAACTTCTTTGATCCTCTAAGAAATTTTAGAATCTATTAGAATATTTTAAGAACCTTTTAGAATCTTTAGAATGTTTTAGAAATCTTTTAAAATTTCTTATTAGAATATTTTTAAAATCTTCTAAAATATTCTCAAAACTAATAAAATATTCTAAAAATATTCTTAAAATATTCTTATTGGATGTTCATAACATCTAATGTTCTAGATTATATGTATGTATGAACAAAGTTTTATTTTATGGCTAAAGAATGTACTTATTGAGATGGTGTTATCAAGTATGGAGAGATGTTCAATTGATATATAGTAAGGTATTGAATTTAAGATTTGTGCTATGTTTTTTTAATGCTAGAAATCAATTATAAATTCCAAATTCTATAATAATGACATGAATATAACTAGTAGTATTATAAATAATATTTTTTAAATATATATATATATATATATATATATATATATGTATATATATATATAATTTATGACTTCTACATTTATCTTTTTATATTTTTCATACTAAAACTGATTTTTAATATTTAATAAAAAAATTATTAAGAAAACAAATAAAATCATTAGAATCTAATAAGAAAAATTAGGATTTGCATGACTATAGGTCCTAAAAAAACTTATGTCATAAAACAAAGAAAAGGTTTAAATAATGATATTGTATACAAATCAAATTACATAGTTTATAGCTAAGTGAACTTGTTTATATATATATATATATATATATATATATATATATATATACAAATTTTATTTTTATTTTAATTTTATATTTTTCCTTCAAAATTATTAAATAATAGCTTAGACTTTTTACAATAAAAACATAAATCTTTATATTAATATTATATCTTCTTTATTATTTTAAGAGCTTAAATTTTAGAACATCAATGTACATATCTTCTATTTTAGTTGTATATATTTAAGAATTATAGTTGTTATAGAATTATAGAAACATTAAGCTTTAATTGTAAAATAATTATATTAAAACTCAAAGATTTAATTGTTATACTAAACAACAAATTTTGTAAATAACATAGATCTTTTAGAATTATAATGATTTAATCACAATAAAAAAAATAATTCAAATAATTTATAAGTCATCTGAATTTATATATTATAATAAAAGTCTGTAGTGAATCCAAACTATTTCAAAAACAAAACATATATTATATAATAATGCATAGAATTTATCTTTTAATGTACATTCAATCTGATTAATTTATTCTATAAACCTATGAAAGATGGTTTATAAACATGAATTTTATTTCAAAATATTTTAAATAAATATTTTATAGTGTTATATTGCAATTTACTTCAAATATTTGAAGCATATCTTAATATTATATTAGTTGACTCAAGTAAATATTAACAAAAAGAAGAGAGTCTATATTAACTAGATTGAATGATAAATATAATCACATATTAATTTTCACACAAAGATAATTACTTATTATGCACTTTTATATTAAAATTAAAATTAGAACTTAGATTTTGTTTGTGTTTCTTAAGGTGATTGTGTGTATAAATAAATATCAAACCTTGCCTTACCATCAAATTAAAAAGTCATATACAAAGATTGAGATGACTCAAGAAAGGTGTTGAAAACATTATAACTGATTATATCTTATCTCTATTTATGATAATTGTGAGAAACATTACAAATACTTGATATTATTGTTAATCATAATTTTAATCTTACTTATAATTCATGTCTCTGATAATAATATATAACATTACCTTTCTGTACATATACAATGGTAAAAATAAACCATTACCTCACTTGCCAGAATAATGATTATTTATACAGTACATCTTTAAGTAGAGTGCAAATCTAAGAATTATTCTGAATTACTCACATGGTTATGGTGGTTGACTGTTCAGAATGGTCTCATCTTTGGCATCTGAACAAATACGGCAGTGACTTTAGCATCTCGAATTGAATTTAATACCATGTTCCTTTGGCATCATGAAAGAAGAGCTTTCATTGCATGGTCAACACTGTTATAACAATTTCAACTTAAGACTCATTTAAGATTCTAGCATCTTATAGCCAACCTGGCACACTAGCGGAAGCTACCAACCACGAAAGAGAGTGGTCAGAAAATTTCGCTGTATTCCATGGAGTTCGAAATAATGGATGAGACTGAAGCATTATCTTTAGAGAATGCGCATACGAAAGCGAAAATTAGTAACGTACTCTGTAGGTTATCCTTGGATCCAGATCAACCGATTGCAAAATTTGATGCAATTTCCTGTAGACGTCAAGTCAGAGCTTTTTGGCGACTGAAATGAAATGGAATCCACTGGTAGTTTGAATGTAGATTGGGTATTCCTGACACGTCAAAATAACTGGATGAGATACCATCAATTTACTTACATGTAGTTCAGCAGACAACTTGAGCTGATCGTCAATGAGAACGTTAGATGCAGATTTCACCATAATCTGGAACAAGATCATGTACCATACTTGTAAGAAATGAAAATTTGCACGGCACCACATGTGATCATTCAATGAGTATAGGCTAGAATCAGATGTCTACATTTACAACCAACCGCCTAAAAACGAGTTCTAGATCACGTTCTATATGCTCCAGTTAATTCCTAATCTGAACTGCTAGAGTGTAACTTAACTGTATAAAAGAAAATGAACCCCACAAATACATTTACTACAAGAAACAGGCTTCACAATATCTTCTCTTTGGACCCTCCGCCAGTGAATACGCATCTTCACAGCAAATACAACCACAGTAACTTAAGACCACAATTCCTGTCTTATTTAGCATTAACCAAGTAGACTTCTCCGAGGTAGGTAAGTGATCTATTTTACTCAGCAGCTTCACAGAAGCATTGGTATCGCCTCAACTGTAACTATCATGGAGGCATGGCACCTCAATTGGCAACAGTGGGCTTTCCATCAGGCTCTGGTTGTGAATCATCAGTTGGAGGGGACACTCTTGAGTTCCGATCTGTGTCATCAGAGGTAGAAGTCTCTGTAGTTGCTTTTGGTGAAGACTTCTGTTCGACTGTCTTCTGTTCGCTTGCACCAAAGGTACTCACTTTCTCTAAAGTCTTTTGACCCACCTCCTCAGCAGCTTTGGCGACCTTGGCATACGCACCAACAACCCATGTTGTGCCTGTAAGAACATACTTGTTCTTTGCAATAGCTGAGCCTGCAGCGTTGAGCTTCTGTTCAGTAGCCTGAACAGCTGCTCGGGTCTTCTCCGCAAAATGGTATTTTTCATCAACAGCCTTCACCTGCTGATTGATGGCAGCAGTGCCAGCGCTCAATTTCTGAGTGATACCTATTTTGTTGTCAATAGAAACAACATTGGCCCTTGCATTTGCTGCTATTTGAGAAGCGTTGGCTGACAGTTGGTGCTTTTCATCAAAAGCCTTAGCCTTTGACATAGTATTGTTCCCAAGTACGTATCCTTTTGCTAACATGTTTTGAAAAATTTCTTGTGCGCTCTTTGTGGCAGGTTTGGTGGCGGTGGTATCCTGAACAAGCATCAAGGTAAATGTAGGTCAGCCCAAATACGTACCGTAACAAGACCGCCACAAATGTAAATTAGTTGTTTTTTCCAAGACAGATGTGACCAAAGTAGAGAAACATGTGTTGCCTTGTTCAACTTCGAAACCTGATTTTACGACCAGATTGTGCATCAAAACAAACTCAGGATTGAAAGATTAAACACACGAATTTAGCAGATTGTTGATTAACCAAATGTTGACAAGCCCTCCACCAAGTTAACCAGTTCAACAGGAAAATTGAGACAACATATTCCATAAAACTCTCGAACAAACAACCTTGGAGCACCTGGAGTGACATTATAGGCCTACTTTTTTCAGAGTCCACATCAGACACTTGGAAATTTCAGGGGACTTACAGTAGGCTCAGCAGTGGTCGCATCCAAAGAGACTTGTTCAACATCTCTAGCAAGTTTCTCCGACTCATCCGCAGGAGCAATAGTCACTGCTTGATCTACAACAGTGGCTCCCTGCCAAAACATAGAAACGTCAAAAGATAATGAGCGGATTTAGGGTGAATTTCATGAAGAGCTGATTTGATCGTTACTTGAACCCAGCAAATCAGAACAACCGGTCTGCTGAAATGCTGGTAACCACATATTGTTAGAATCTTCGAAAACTTACAGAAAGTAGAAGAGCTGTTTCTAAAGCCTGAGCCTCCTTGAACGTAACAAACGCAATCTGAGACAGCTCACCATCCCTACAAAGACATGGATAAACATTGAATTTAAGGAAAATCTACCACTAAATTCACTCAGCATTCGAAGACTTGAATCGTTGCAAATTTATCTCTAAAGCTACGAAAATAGCCAGATAATTTCATGAAGATTTATTTCTCGGTAGACTGCAGGAGCTCAATCCTACACCTGAAAATCTATTTGACTTGGCTAAATTGTAATCCATCTAAAGGAACATTCTCAAACTCAAATGATTTCCGTAATGATCGTCCAAAAATGAAGATTAAGTGCCAAAAAACAGTGAGAAAAATCCTACGCATGGCTCTAGTTGTAAAGTGATAATTTCTGGACATCCCAGGAGCTACGTCTCGAGACACATGGTCCCTCTGACCAGACGCAGGTGCATCACCCTTTCGTTGGAACAAAACACTTCAGGCGCATACTACAACAATGTGTTGACAGGGAACCACCAAAGTTACCAATGACGCAAAACGCAGCAACTGTATCGTCGAGATCAAATCACCAAATTCCTCGGGAAATTCACGAAGCAAAGATCCACCACTCTGGAAGAATGAAGCTCACTTGAGAAGCTTGATGTGCTCAATCTCCCCTGAGAAAGAAAAGAAATCCTGAATGTCGTGCTCCGTCGCCTTGGACGACACGTTACTCACTCGAACAGTATGAATCTCTTCCTTCTGTCTCCCCACATCACACCCCAGACACGTCAACCAAAAAAACCTTCGATCTCCTCTCATCTCATCCTAAAACCCTAGATAACCCTCCCCACCTTTCTCACCTCCACTCACACTCCACCATCACCTCTCATCTCAACACACCCCGCCACAATCCCACACCCCTCATTCCGACCCCACCATCGCCAACGAAAACAACATCCTCAAAACTAAAAATAAATAAACTAAAATCACGACTCAAAACGTAATACGCAATCTAACCCCAAGAAAGTAACCGCGAACAAACAACCAGATACCAAGAAACATCACCAACTCACGTACCGACATGTTGTCCATCTACTGATCGTTCCAGAAATATCCTCAAAGCAAATACAGAAAAAATCTAAACAAAAGAGAGGGAGAGTGTGTGACAATCCTTGGGCAAGATAGAAAACGCACGCACAGGAACCACAAGAGCAAGAAAAACAGCAGCACAAGACTCAGAGAGCGAGGTGGGAAAACACAGAGTAGAGATCTGAAAACTTGAAACCACGAAGAAGAAGTAGCAAACTTGCTTCGGGCCCCTCTCCCCGCCCCCGCCCACTTTTCCGTCCCATCCCACGTTGAAATTCTCAAACGAACGATGGATGTATCTCATCCATAATCATGGGATGTCATTCATTCATCCGTCAGAGAATGTTGGGTAGGTATTGGATGGGGCTGTGCGGGTTTGGTTTGGATTCTCACGAGTTGGATTTTGGGATTAGGTTGCTGAAAAGCCCCCTGGTCACATGAGAGAGTGAGTTCTTTCACAATTGGGTTCCAATGCCAATAGATGGGCCCCATTGCAGGCATTTGCTTTGTGTTTGTGCACCCCTTGTTTGACTGAGATTCTATGTCTCCCTAGCGTTACAGTTTTCATTCATCCATTATTATCATTCGTTCGTTTATGGGTCTTTTAGGGTATATGCTGTGTTGTTGGTGGATGAGTGAGTTTAGGGAGATCATGAATTGTCTTGACTTTGGGGGGCTTGAAATAGGCTGGGACCGAACTTGTCAGCTGCTTGGTGGGGGTGCTTACTTTTATTTGATTTATGAAGATCTGTGGGTGTTGGATGGATGAAGCCGTGTGTTTGTGGATCATCAGTTCGTACAAAAAGTTTCCTCTTTTTTGTATATGTCTTTCATGTATATGTATTGATATTTTTATTTTCATAGGTCTTGGTTACTACTGTTATCCCCCCCCACTGGATGTTGGACGGTTCAGCTATAAATCAGATCAAAAAATTGCATTTCGTCCAGTAGTGACGGTGTCAGTGATGCGGTGATTTTACTCGAGGAGTACCTTAGATCTGAATGATTCTTTGCTGTAGACAAGAAAGCAGTCGGTTCGGATAAATGGAGTCAGTCACACTCTCTCCCCAGAGGAAAAACCAATCATGTACACACTGCAGAATCACGGTTTGTATGTCCAGTCCCACTCAGGCGAATGAAGCTGTTATGATATGCACTTATGATTCGCCAACAATAATCCAAAAAATTACCTTGAGGACTCTGATGATCTTGAAGTACATATACATTTGGTTTTGAGCATTTGACTTTTTGGGTGCTTTTACATGTCGCAATGATAGGCAATTCAAGGGAGCTGCAAAGAATGATAAAATCTTAAAAACTAAGCACTTCTCCGTTGAAGATTTCGTCCAGTTCCACCACCATGCACAAAAGCACTCATCATTCAAAGGCTAAGGTCGTCAAAGCTTGGGATATAATTAATTAACAGGTCAGTATAATGGTTCCAAGGCACAGGGTGTTTGGATGCCATCGTATCCAATTTGTATTATCAGGTCAAAAGCAGAAGCGAAGAGATACACGTCGGTGCAACACTTGCACAGTACACTGGTCAGCCCCACCACAAACTGTGTACCAGCTCTAACGAAATCTCAACGTGTGAGGTACTAACTGTGAGATTCCTTAAAGACAAACATGAACAATCTGAACAAAATCTGTATCCACCGAAAATGTTGCACTATCTTGACAGTATGGCTGTTTCAACGTGTTCCCTAATAAATTAGATAAAAAACGGGAGAAAATGCACGTATTTCTTGGAGCCTGAGGCAAGACATAACATGACGACTCACCTAGTGGAGGCGTGAACCTGTTATCTACCTGTGACCGTAAAAACTCCGATACATTGAGGGGAACTTCTAAACCAGAATAATTTGGACACAGAGCTTAGGAGAGAACGACAAGTAACTGTTATCATGAGGTTTGCCTTGTTACCAAATAAATTTGGAGTTAGTTTTATCTACAACCGACCAAAAAAAAACACTCAGAAGAAGGTTCCAAGAGGCATAATTTAATAAACCTCCACGTGCCACTGCTTGTTTTTCTTCAAGGCGGCCAACTTCGTCTCCCAGCTCTCGCCCCTGGACTCCGCAACTCTCTTGAGCATGTCTTGGATACCCGGCATCATACCCCTAAGTCCACAGAAGTAAATATGTGCGCCCTTGTCCAGCTTGTCGAACAACTCCTCGCTGTACTCCTCCATCTTGTCCTGAACATACAGCTTTCCGCCGCGGGAATTCTTCTGCTCCCGACTCAACGCAATATCGTAACGGAAGTTATCTGGGTATTCTTTCAAGTAGGTGTTGAACTCGTCGTGGTAGAGTAGACTGTCCGTGTTAGCAACTCCCATGAAGAGCCAAGCCAGGCCGTTGAATTTAAACTCTGTGTCCTCCATGAACATCCTCCGCAAATAGCCTCTGTACGGTGCAATGCCAGTTCCGGTGGCCACCATGATGTGGGTGGCACTGGGGTCCTCCTCTGGCAACAACAAGACTTTACCCGAAGGCCCAACAATTTGGACCTTGTCTCCAGGCTTGGAGTCGCACAAAAAATTACTGCAAATTCCCTTCTTCGCAGGGTCCTCCTTCCCTGTTTCGGGATCCCAGTACACAGCCCTCCGAACACAGAAACTCGCCGTCCTACCATCGAAATCATCTCCATACCTCGTCGAAGCTATGGAATATAAGCGGACTGAATTGGGTTGTCCAGGCTTTTTAGGATTCTCGCCTGGCGGAATAATCCCATAACTCTGCCCCTCCCAGTAAGGCACATTCCCCTCGTGATCGATCACGATGTGGCAGGTCTCTCCCGGCGCCTTCGGCCCGACGATCCGCTCCACCGACTTGATAGTCCCAATGAAAGGCTCCTTGTTCTTGAACAGGTGCATAGGAGGTTCCTTTGCGGCTTCCAACGACTTCGGTCCCGTAGCAACCTGAGGGGTCACAGCGCTTGCAGGCTTCGTGTACGCCTTCACACCCCGATTCTCCGATCGCAATCCTACCTTGCTCTCCCCACGCTTCACACTCCATTGCAGGGTCTTCCCACCCATAAACCTCCTAGCTTCGAAGCTCGGCATGCGCTGTGTCACGGCATCCTTACCCCTTAAAGTCTCTACATGGCTGCTTCCAAATCCCGTCACCACAGTGTGCGCGTTAAGCTGCACGGTCGCCATATTTCCCTAAACCCTCTCTGAAAAAGATACACACACACACAATTCAAATCGCAACACAACGATGGATCCCAAGGAAAACCTGCTGGCAATAAATATGCTCAAATTGACCTCCGATCCGAAATCACACGTGACGAGGCGATCGGGGAGGCAAAGTTGAATTGGGCAATGAATGAGGTGGTAGTGTGGGAGGATACATATAAGAAGGACAAATCGGACGCACAACGACAACGCCGTCGAGGCACCGATTCGCGCGTGGCAAGTTACCTTCGGTCACGCCCAGCCCAGCTCCTCGCGCACCAGGGAATCTGCGGAGTAAAGGAGCCCTAGACAAGAGAAAAAGGAGCCCTAGTCCAGCATAAAGGCCATTCGCGGGTCATCGCGTACCCGGTCCCCGCGAGGTTGTGCGTGGTGGCATAGGTCTTCCAGATCCTGACCCTATTTGGGGTGGTCCAACCCCCTGCAGTCACCGCGCCGTCCTTGGCTCATGTACAAGTCCTCAGCTCACACCACTCCCTGAATAATTTAGGGCCAGTGAACAGCAGCCCTCAGAAAATTTGGATTGATGCTCGAAGTCCTTTCAGATTCCTGAGGGGAGCCTCACAACTGATTCAAGGGTCGCGGTGTTAGATTGTCTGTGCAAGTGCGAAATCTTCACACATTGCAAACCTCTCTTCATCCCAACCGAAAATACTTAGGATATTTCGTGAATGTGTTAAACTGTACACACACAAGAATAGGTGATGGTTAGTTCTTTTTCCGCCTTCATTGCGGTATGATTCGTATGTAAGTGCAGGTGTTGATTTGCCAGGTTTATACAATGATCAACAAAAAGTATTAGATACCCCGATATCAGTTGATGAAAGCATGAATAAGTTTTGGTTTGGTCTTTCCTGCATATGCACACACTGAACAAAACTTTATTACATTTGGATGCACTCTGAGCGACCATTATATACCGCACAAGCTTTGTAACGAGTTCCTTTTTCCTTTGTAGCGGCGACTCTTTTCCCCTCTTTCTCTATTCCTTTTGAAAACTGATACTTAGAATTTGAATCGGCACTTAATAAGTTATGATTCCCACATGTTGTTTAATTCCTGCAACTTTTTTACCCATTGGCTATCATGTTGTGCACCTCTTGATAGATTTTGGATGCTTAAAAGTTAGACGTATGCTCTGTTCTTGAAAAGTATTTATACTTAACAATTTTGAGAGATCAGGTTTTGCTACCTTTATCTGAACATGAAGAATTTATGGTGGGGCGTGTTTGAATATCGAATACTACTGTTCTTGCTACCGCAGATAGGAGTAAAATGACAGTTAATGGTTCAGAGTGTGTCCTCTAAGAAGCAGGTGTTGTGCCTGTGAAGTACCCTGCTTCCAACTCACACCGTATCAAACATGCATTCATGGGTCTCGAGCTCACACAGTAGTTGCAATGTGATAGTGTGATCATGAACTCAGTTGCAGACACACAATGGTGGAGCCCTCATTAGAGAAGATACACAGTTGTATCTTCAAAAACTTCAACAGTTAAACCTGTATCATGCAAGCATCCATCTCAATTCCAAATAACGATGCCACACATGAAGTCTCATGTTAGGCAATTACGAGAATTTGTCAGATCAATTCATGAAAGCAGGAATAACAACGTTACGATTCCTAAAAAAACATCCATGAGAAGCTGCGGAGCTCGATCACAGAACGCTCATCTTACACAGCTCTTTGTATATGCAACAGAAACTGAAGCATTAGTTCACTGCACTGCAAGAAAAGGATGTCATGCGTTGGTATAGATCTCATTTAAACAGACCCAATGAATAAGCAAGAATCATGCTCATCAATGCCGCATGGACACAAATACAAAGAGCCAAAAAAAATTAAAAATAAAACGGCATTAAATACAAAAAAGAAAAAAGAGTTAAACTTGGTACCTCCACAACATTGGGTGTCACTAAACACAGCCACACATCACAGCACCACTAATCCAGGGGCTTCACACTCTTCACAGCTGAGTCAAGCCGCGGCTCTCATGACGAGCGAGTCAATCTACATTGAGTTCAATCCTTGTCTTTGTGCACCTATGATTGAATGCAGTGTTTTCCATAGTCAAGCACTTGAAATCGAATCCACGCAATCAATACACAATTCATGAAAATTAACGAAGGTCACTCGAATTATTTCGCAACGAAAATGCTGCACTGGCATGACCTTAGTAGCTTGTCGAAGTCAGAAAGACCACGCTTAGTTTGGAGCGCGTAGCCTCCTCATCATCCAAGTTAGATCCCCACACCCACAGTGAAAGTGGAAACGGACCAGTAACTCCCTTCATGCCCCATCAAAAATGGCTCCTTCATAAGAATCAACCACGCGGGGATGGTAAATGACATCGATCCCTGGCTCACCATCCTGTTATTCGCAACCGCGGGAGTGGTCACGAAAGTGTACAGTGAAATCGATGCTCACACATTTTGTACCACAGCCAATTTCTCCACGCCTGGAGTCGTCAACAAAAATAGATGGGACCCAAGCGCACCGGCTTTCAAGCGCAATAGAGGATTTCATTTCGTCGAAAAAGAATCTCGGAGCAAGATGACATCCAGAACCTGCTCGGCAGAGTGAATGTAAAGTTTGAAGACAGAGATAACAAGCCGATGCCCAAAAGGAAGGGATACAGAAAAACAGGGGGAATTTACTCTCACGTTGGATTCTTCTCATGAAACCCCACACGACAAATCTAAGCTGTATTTTCGAATTCTTACGAAGCGCCGCAGCTATTCATAAGTTTATGGGTTGGTGGCAGAGCGAGATGTAGTTCTCGATACCACTCAAAGAGTTGAAGCCGTCAATGAGAGCTGTAACATTCATGCAACGAGAACAACACGGCAAGTTCCAACAACCGATCGTCTTGTCCATAGTAAGGAATTCATGAGATCTCCGAGGTTAAGATTGCACGAGGAGAAGCTGACAATCTCGCCCATTGCATTATGGTCAGGATGAGACGAGGGCACTAAAATGCGAGCATGGCGGAGCATGGCGAAGCGTGGACAGCTGGATTGCCTGCACTCGGGTTCGAACCCGTGACATATTGCAAGGACCGCGGGTTTGGGTTTGCCTTAAAGGTGGTTTAGGGTTTCGGGATCCTCCTTCGCTTGCAAAATTGACGTCCTCATCGGTTACCTTGATTCTCAACAACTGCTTGTGTTCATTTTTAGCGTTCATTTCTAGTATTCATTCCAGAAAAAACTCAAGATATTGATAGACTATTAAATTTTATAATCTTTTTATCAAATTGAAGCACTTAAAAATAAAAGCCAATGCATGTAATCATTACCCAAAAAGAAATTTTGTTTTTTAAAAAACAAATAAATTACAAGTTAAATTTTTTATTATGTAAAAAAATTGGTTTTGTGAGTTTCTTTTTATGTCCTAAATGTTGTGGTTACAAATACATCTTAGTGGCTATAGAATACGCTTTTTAATGAATAGAATTTAAAGTACTCCAAGAAAATATTAATTATATATAAACTTATATCTTTGTATAAGCATGTTATCAGCCAAAACAATGAAACTATTAAACAAGGCAAACATAAAATAAGTTACAAACTGAAGTATGTCTCTTTCAGTATAAATGTATGTATGTATATATTTATTTTTTTAGTTTATAAATATTTCTCACACAAAATTTATTATTTGATGTTAATACGTATATTTATATTTATATTTATTAATAATACTAAAATGTATGGTAATGAATATATACATATTATTTAGATATCTACTTCATCTACCTAAAAATTGATATATTTATTTCTTTGATTTACATATAGATAATTTAATTGACAGTTTTTTATTGTAGTCATATTCCAAGTGTGTGATTTACTACTTACTTTGGTCAATTAGGTGCCTCCAATTCAGAAACTTTAATAGTTTTCTTATTGATTGCATTATATTTACGAAGTAAATTTGAGATTATAAATTTTTTATTTTCTAAAATACAAAGAAAAAATATAAAGAACATAGAAATTAAATAAATACCTCTAATACTTTCATAAATAGTAAGATTCATTCCATTGGTTCAAAATTTTTAAATATAAAATTATAAACTATAGTTTATTTCAAACAAATATATATATATATATATATATATATATATATATTATAACTGTAAATTATCCAAATCTCAAAGATGTGAAATTAATTTAAATAAATTGTTCTATAGGTCTATTCATCTACCACTATATATTCCTGAGATGTATATAATCTATATTAGACTACTGTTCTTGATTTTTACTAGTTTCTTTTTATGCCAATTCTTCCTAGACATTAATAACCAAATTTATTTTATACAATATAAAACAAAATATCCAATAATCCTAAAAATCTTGATTAAATGTAATTTTTATTTTACTCTAGGTATCAACTTATCAAATAAATTTTAACAAAATAAAACCAAAATAAATTAAAATAAAATAGCAAATCAACAAACAACAAATAAATGCACAAATAGAGACAAAAATATAGATATATACACATTATATTTGTAATAATGTTTTTTTATAGTTATTATGACTTTATATATATTCAAAATTAAACTCTAAAATAACATATATATATATATATATATATATATATATATAAAATATAACAATTATTTCTACTAGATGTTATTATTGATTTTAAACTCTAACTAAGCATGAAAGATATGGTTACAAATAAACAAATAAGTAAATAATAACTTAGTCTTACATGTACATGAATGATCTATTTTAAAGTGAGCAAATTAATCTTAGTACTGAGGTCTTTTTTGTTTTAGAAATTACAAATTCTTTCTTCTAAAAAAACAACAAGATTGTTGTAACAAATGATTAATTATTATTCCTTAAAAGCTATTATAGTATTTGAAAAAAATTAATCACTCTTCTATAAATTAATAGTTCTAATTAAGTTTTGCATTTATATAAAATAAATTATTCTTTGTTATAGTATATATGCAAAAATAAGTTTATTTAAACTTTTTAAAATGAGAATAAAATAATAATAGAATGTCTAACTTATTTATTAGAAGTATTTAAAAAATTTACTAAAATTATGAAAAAATACAAAAAACAATTTATAAGCTTGAAAAAAAAAGGACTAGTAAGTTTTTTCTACAATAAATTACTTTATATATATATATATATATATATATATATATATA